TGCGCCGCCAGCGGAAGCCCGGTCCTGGCGCGGCGCCTGTGCCTCGGCCGCGACCCGGACTGCGCGGTCCAGCTGCCGCTGGTGCCCTGCCAGCAGGCCAAGGCGCCCGACGTGGCAGGACCTGCGGAAGGAGCTCATTGCCCAGTCGCAGGTCGGCGCTCGCGCTGGATGCGGGTGGGGGGCGCAGGGGCGTCGGAGACGGACCGGCTTTGGCGAGGCAGACCGGGGAGGTCGGAATCTGTGCCCTTTCTCCCAACTGTGACACCCGAAAACAGGCCAGACTGGCTGTTGGCTTCTAATGAGCCAATAGGGGAATGCTTAAATAAAACGATGAAAGGGAGGAAAGCACTCAGGTAGTGTCAGGCACCCACCCTGGGCCAGAGCCCTGCTAGGCCCTTTACCCCCTTTATTATTCTCTTACGTCTTTATAGTGAGTACACTGAGTTTAGGTCAAGCTATTTGTCCAGCCAGAATTGCTACAATAAAATGAGCCTTCCTGGCTCTAAAGCCATCACCCCACACTGCTTCTGGGCTTATAAAGCTCAGAAGTTCTTGGAAATGAATGCTTGTCTCATTTGATTTGCCGACATTCCACGTTTCGAGTTCTAGGGGAGCAACATGTAAGCTCCTCTTTGGGCCTTTGACGTGACTTGGAAAGTGACTGTCTTGTCAACAAGCAGTTGTACTGAGGGGCTCGAGAGGTCACTGCCACTTCTTTGTCTTAAGGGATTGAGACCCTTGCTCATCACCGTAACTATGAGTAGTTCAAACTTCATCTGAGGATTTAAATTTTTCTTAAAAAACAGTGACTAAATTGCTATTTTGTCGGGTTTTCCTAAGGTGACGGGCTGGGTCCTGATAGCAGTGGTTATCATCGTGCTCCTGATTTGTACCTCTGTCAGCCGATGCCTATCTCCAGTTAGCTTCCTGCAGCTGAAATTTTGGAAAATCTATGTGGAACAGGAGCAGGAGATCTTTAAAGCTCAAGCCACAGAGCATGCAACCGAATTGGCAAGAGAAAATATCAAATGTTTCTTTGAGTGCTCACATCCAAAGGAATGCAACATTCCAAGCATTAAAGACTGGCAGCAAATTTCGTCACTGTATACTTTCAATCCCAAGGAACAGTACTATAGCACGCTGCACAAATATGTTAACAGAAAAGAGAAGACTCAGAGTATCAGATCTTCTGAAGGAGATGCAGTGGTTCCTATTCTTGGCTTTGTAGATTCACCTGGTATAAAGAGCATTACTGACATATGACCTTTTTAATGAATAGGTAAAAAGTTATTTTGAATTATTGATTCATGAAAAAAATAAACATTGGTACTGTTTGACTCCTTTTTTTTTTGTCTTCCAAATTGTGAAATCATAGAATATTAAATCAAATCAAATAAAAATTTAGAACTTTACCTCTTTATTATATTATTTTAAAAAAGGAAGCTAGTTTAAGTGGTTCAGTCAATGTGACAAACTGGAACTAGATCAGAAGTTTTACGTCCCTAGTCTAGGATCTTTTTCACTGGATAATAATGCTGCTTTCAAATAAAAGAATTTAGTACCAAAAACAGCAAAAGAGCAATTAACTTCAGACCTTTCTTTTAGGTTATCTGATGTTAGTTTCAAATTCACTTTCATGCAGTCAGGACATCGTTTGGAACTTTAAAATACTGGCATTTTATGGCTGTTCTATGGTTACTAAACAAAAATACAAAAATATCATCATGAAAAGGAAAGTAAATTTTTTTCTGAAATACAAAATTTGAAAAACTAGGCTAATTGCAGGCATAACTGTTGCTTTTAGTTTGTAGGATCAGAGGCAACATTTTAAAGCTGTATCTTATGGTAAATTTCAAATATGCACAAAAGTAGAGAGGATAGTGTTATGAACAGTACAGTTTCAACAGACAGAAGTCAGATGAACTCATACCACACAAATAAATAGAGAAATACAAATTGTGAGCTGATTTAGATTGAAGAGTAGGGGGTTGGGGGTGTCTGTGAGAACTGAAATCTGTAGAGTGAGAGAAGAATGTTTCAGTTTGCAGAACAGTAAGTGCAAAACTGAGGTGAGAAAGATCTTAGTATAGTTAGAAGCCTTAAAGGTGAGTGCAGAAAATGGGCAAAGGACAGAACACGCAGCCCCTTGAAGTCTTGCAAAGGGTTTTGGTTTTCATCCTGGGAATATTTCAGGAAAATCGATCAGCTTTTCTTGTGGAAAAAGGAATGGCAGGGGAAGAGGGAGAGACTAATCAGGAGGCCACTGCGGGGAAAATAGGTGGGGGTGAACTTGAACTGGGTTGATACTGATGAAGATAGAAAAGGAAGACGGATTCAAGGCAGATTTTGACAGGATTTGTTGGTGGAAAAGATGCAAGGAGTTTTTGAGAACAAAAATATCTATAGATAAAATTCTGTTGCTTGATAATGCCAGGAACTTTTCAGGGGACATTAGATTGTCATTCCTGCCCCTTCTCCAGATTTATGGCTATTTTGTGCATTAAAAAAATGACACATGAAAGCTTTAAACGGTAAAACAATTGAGCACAGACTATATTTACCCTTCTGGCTGACGCTTGCACCTGCTTCTATTTGCTCTTTGTTGCACAGGGGCCATTAAAAAGGATTGGTCTGCAGGGCTGAATATCCTGTTGCTGAGAGTCATCTACTGCAAAAAGTTGGCTACAGGATTTGCACAATCAGTTTTTTTCTGTTCCCTACTGAGTAATTTTAAAAGTCATATCATGCCTACTTTCATTTTTGCTTCCTCTATTTCATTTTAAAATTTCCTTTATATGTTCTTCCCTTCAATACTTTTTTTTCTAGTCTACCATTTACACTTCTGTATACTATCATATTTTCTCCATTTTATTGACTTGTGCTCCACTTTTGCACAGTCTTTAATAATTATTGTGAAAGTATATATGCTTAAGATAAAAAAATGATAATGGTAGAGACTGAGTTAAGGAAAAAGGAAATCACCTCATTCCTTTGCAATATATTCTCCCCAGAGGAAGCCATTTACTCTATGTGTACACAAATATTAACATACTATAAATGTAGTTCTGCAGCTTTTTCACATAAAGTAACATTGTTCCATGTGTATATATGACACTTTACCTCCTGAAAAATTACTATATAGTGTTCTGACTAGTAGGATTTGATCGCTTTTTTGTTAAAAAAATCCACACACACATGTACACATATATTTGCACACATTCATAAAGTATATAAAGATAAACACCAAATTGTCCAATTTGGTCAATTCTGGAGACTGATAATGGGCCAGGGAATTTTTAAAACCTCATGCACTTTTGATCTTTGGGTTTTTAAAATAATAAATCATGAATATGAACTGTATGATTGGAAAAGATTGAAAAGAACCCTTATACTGGTGTAGGGCTCTACCGTTAACAAAGAACTTTTTTTCATTTTCTCTATTTCATTTTCACGAGTTTGTGGGATACCCATGAGACCCATCACTCAGTCCTGCAAGTGAGGAAATGAAGGTTAGAGAGGTCACATTACTAGTCCAAGGCCACATGGTCAATGAAGGCAGAACCAAAGCTAGGGGGCTGATCTCTGGATCATGTGGTTCAAAGTGGCCACTTGGCTATTTTTATTACTGGGGTGGATTCTGCACCCCCCCTCCTTTTAACCCATGTGCCCATGTGACCAGAAAAGATACAGATGCCCTTAGTGATCCACAGGAATTTTCATCTCATTCAGAAACTTGGCAGCTGTTGCTGGCTGTGACCACTTTGAACAGTGAAATCAGAACACCACACCGTTATCTTAAGGTGGCAACATGGTCACCACTGTTTTGCAGGATAAATCACTCCTCTGACAATGGCCCCAAACAGGCCATGTCATAGGCTCAAGAAGCATTTCTATATTCAGTATATATGTATTCGCTGGCTCAGTAAATGATTCTTCATAATCACCCCAGCTTGATGCTTCTCTGAAGCCTCAACCTTAGAGGAAATTCAGACACAAAGATTAATATTTGCTGAAAAACAGCCCTATTGTTCTAAGAGATGATTCCACAGTGTATTGAGTACTGGTGAGTTGATACTGTTTATGGAACATAAGATTAGGCATGGTCTCTTTGCTTCATCCAAAGCCGTGGACAGAAATATCATTGCTCCGTGAACTGATTAGAGAAGCAACTCCCGAGGAAAGCATCTGAAGATAGAATTAGCCTCGGACACAAATGTCTGGTTGAAAAACATCTGGGAACCCCTGAGTTTTGCAATATCCTGTATCTTATCTACCACATGGCTTATTGTAAATACATCTTCCTAAGAGAGAAGATGAAGAAATGCTCCCTGTGTGCGTCAGCCCCAGCAACAGCCTCCACTGCCTGCGCTGTCAGTAGCCAACTCCCAGCAAGTGCCTGATGCGTGTCCAACACTAGACCTGCCCCGAAAGCTCAGCCTTTAGTTGTCTTATTTCATCTTTTCCTCTTCATTACCTACATATGAACTGTCTCTTATAAATTGCAATGTAAGGACTGTGGAATTGGTTATATTTTATTCTTACCTAAGGAAAGAGACCTGTATCAAAAAAGGGGTATGGTCTGTCAAGACCCTTTACCACAGGCAGTGGACATAAAAAAAACTTCCAAAGGAAAGAAAAATACTACAAGATCAAGCAATTTATTGTCATTTAAAAATTGCGAGATATCAAACATAGAGAAGAGTATATGAAACATTTATGTACAAAGAATAATTACAAGCAAACATCTATGTAACCATCCCAAAGGGGAAAGAAAGAGGACATTTCCAACACCCCCAAACCCCTGCCCATGTGCCTCTTCATGATCCCAACTCTCTCCCTGTAGAAGTTGGGGGTTGATCATTTCCTTACTTTTATTTATAGTTTTGCCACCTATGTATACCTTTGCATTTTTAAAATGTAATATTTAGTTTTGTCGGTTTTTGAACTTTATGTGAATTAAATCATCCTCCAGGAATTGTTTTATCATGTTCTTGTTTGATTTTGTTTGAGAAATTCATCCATAATATGTGTAGAACAACTTATTTATTTTGATTGCTGTATAGTATTCCATGCACGAATCATTCCATGCATGATTTTCCACAATCTAGTCATCCATTTAACTGCTGATGGACATTTAAGTTATTCCTAGTTTCTGGCTCTTATGAGGAATTCTGGAGTGAACATTCATGTACTTATATTCTGGTGTACATGTGCAGGTATTTCTTCAGGGTATGCTCCTAGGAATTTGCTAGATGATGTTAACTATTTGCCATTATGCTTGTACCAATTTACACTACGATGAGAGTTTCCAGTGCTTCTCACTTTTGCAACACTTGGTATTTCCAATTATTTACTTCTGTCACTCTGGTGAATTTGTAATGGTATTTCTCACTGTGGTTTTAATTGGCATTTCCCTAACCATTAAAGGTTTTGGGGGAGGGGGGTGGGAATGGACAGACTGAGAGTTCGAAATTTGTAGATATTGACAGGTATATACAGAATAGATAAACAAGATTATACTGTATAGCACAGGGAAATATATACAAGATCTTGTGGTAGGTCACAATGAAAAAGAATGTGACAATGAATATATGTATGTTCATGTATAACTGAAAAATTGTGCTCTATTCAGGAAATGGACACAACATTGTAAACTGACTATAACTCAATAAAATAAAATTTAAAAAAATTTTTGGCATCTTTTCATTTGTTTACTAGCCATATATATATATATATATATATATATATATGCATATGTTTGCTAAGATATTGGATATCTTCTTTTATGAAGTGCCTATTCAATCTTTTGCCAATTTTTAATATTTGGGTTTTCTGTCTTTTTCTTCTTGATTTCTAAGATTTCATTATTATATCATTCACTTAAACCAACAAATATTTATTGAGTGCCTACTTTGTTCCGGGCATATTTTATTTCCTTTAATTACATCAGTGAACCAACGGCAAAGGTCCTGACCTTTTGGAGCTTACATTCCAAGGGGAGAGAGAAATAATAAACAGAAAGCATAATAAATAAGTAGATAATTGGATATGTAAAGGGGAGAAGAATTCTGTAAAGAACAAAAGAACATTCTAGGAGGTATTAGAAATGCTGGAGATTGGAGAGCTGTTTCCCTCACTGAGAAGAGACCTTTGTGCAAAGACTTGAAGGGGTCAGAGGCTAGCCAGTATAACCTGGGAGTAGTGAGCTACGGGACAAACAGGCCATGAGGTCGGAGAGGTAAGGGGGCAGGGGCAGATCACCTAAGACTTTTGGGCCAATGTAAGGACTTTGGCTTTTACTCTGAATGAGCTGAATAGCCACC